TCATCATACGGTCCTGTACATGGGCACTAATCCCAGAATTTACATGCATGTGTGATTAAGAAAGTCCAGCCATGGTAACAAAACAAGGTTCATATTTGCTTCACTAGGACAATAGACAACAGAGGAGAGTAATCAGTTATGAAATATACTGAGACTCTACACATTTCAAGTGAAATAGTCCTCCTTCTTTCTCCTGTTTTCAAAATATGAGAAAAATAAGGCAAAGTCCTTTATTTTATAAGCTCTAAGATCTTAGAAATATTTTGGTTGTTCCTAGATTATCCATTTCACACAGAGATTTCTGATTCTGCTGCAGAAGTATGTCCTATCAGTGTTGCATTTCTCACTCATCTGAGAAGCTTGCTAGAATTTTTCACTTCTTACATGAGTTTCTTGTGCTAAATTGAAAGTCCTGAGGAAGCTGACAGACTTGCTCATCTAAAACTGTATAATGGGACTCTTAGGTGTTGCTAACACAGGATCTCGCCAAGAACACAGACAGTTCATGGGATCAGAAATCCACTGGGAGCCTCATCTGAAGGGGGAACAGGGCAAAAAATGGATATAAAGAATGAAGGAGAGTGCTGCAGCTAGGGAAGCGAAGGGAAGGGAACTAAGCTTCTCCCTCTCCTCTCTGGCTCTGAAGTAAATTGTTGCTTTTATATGGTATGCCTAGCCTCAAACAGCATCTCCTGTCCATTCCTGTGTGCCAACCCATGATCACAAGCTCTTACCCCATTCCAATCCCCACTCCCTCCAGCCTGTCACCTCTCCCCCGCTGTATCTCTGGAGTTTTCATTCCCAGCTTCGTTAGAAATGGGAAGCCTGAGGAAGAGTTTCTGCACGTGGCCTACTCCTCCTGGTACCTGCAGGCTGCTCTCCATAATGCTGAAGTAGCAAGAGCCAGCCCCGTCTAGAGGAGGATTAAGACATATTACACGAAGTCATTTGAAAAAAAAAAAAGTTAAAAGATACTAGATTTGTTTGATTTGTTTTTAAAAGCCCCGGGTGGTTCCTTGTCTCCATGAAAGCTTCATACAAGGATTATACAAGCAAACTCGAGGGAGACAGCAATGTTTCAAACAATTACTTTGGACAAAATAAAGCAGCACTAGTAGATTGCCCATACTATAAACTATGTTTTTTCAAAATGAAACAATCCTTCAATACTGACACCGTCATCTTGGATAAATGATGCTACCCTAACTGGGTAATCAACTGAAACAAATAAAAATAGAGCCTATCACACCATCAGTTTTTAAATCAGAAATCCCTCAATGGGGCATTCTACTGAAAAGATAATGGGACCCAATATGGGCGAAGGGAAGTACTTAATAACTTTCTCATTTTTCTACTATCTGCAAGGAATCACAAAACAGATCATTCAAATCCAAGAGAGAAATAGCATGCAATTTGCAGCTTGATTTCATTATTGATCAGTCAGTAAACAGAATTTATTTATACCCTATTTGATGTAGTTCATAAAAACCCAAGAAAGAAGATTCTCCCCAATTTACTGCAACAATCAACTGGCAGCATTTCTGTTGATTTCAGATACACCCTATCTGACCCAGCACAGTAATACACCAGTGGCAGACTCTCTACCCGAGAGATGTCTTATGGGCCACTACAGTATTTCACAGGCTTCCTCAGTTTGTGTCTGGCTGCTACAAATACAGCACTTTGATCCTGAAACTTTGTTAAGTAACTCCCACTCGTTAAGTGGAAGGGATAAGTTTATTTTTCCAAATTGCAGAATGCCTCTCTAGCAGTAGAAACCATTCAGAATGGCACGCTGCATGGCACAGGGCTAGAGCTCCTACTGCCACTAATGGCACCTAGCAAAAGAATTCAGAAGCCTCCTCCTATTTCCTATTTTTGGAAATAATGGAGATTGTCTCCTAGTCCTACTCCTTTTTAATATACCTAACCCATCTAAAAGCAGCTCGCATAAATGCTATTTTTTTAAACTGTCCTTTAGTACGTTTTTGGCAACTCCTAATTTGGCTAGACTCCAAATGTCTCTCTCTTCTCCCCTCTCTAAAGAAAGGCAGCCATTTATCCAAGAACAGACATCAGCGTGTTAATGACTTTGCAAATGGGTACTGAAATCTTCACGTAGTTTTTCCTCTCCTTAGTAAGAGACACACAGAAATTATAGGTAGCCTGAATAAGTTTAGGGGAAAAAAACTTCACACAGAGCATATTCTAGGCCTGCTGTTTTCAATGTGCTTGCAGTCTAGACAGGTCCTAAATATCCAGTAAAATATTGTACACAATGACATGCATCAAACAGAAAATCTGTTGAAGCTGCAAGTACTCTGCAATGACTCTTTTGCCTGATTTCGGAACCCAGCATGGTCATTAATGAGATTAAACTCTTTGTTCTTTCAGTCCTCACTCCCTCATTTTTATCTTCAGAGCTAGCATTTTCATGTCACAGGGGCAACATTCCCTCTGGTTAGTCTGGATCTTTAGTCAAAGACAGTCTAGCTCACATCTATATTCAATAGATAAATGCAGTTGAGTCACAAATTCTCAATCTCACTAATATTTAAACAGTTTCAGAGCAGATAAAGTGGAGTCAAGCTACAGGGCTTTCAAAGATATTTGAGTTTAAAAACAGCATTTCAACTACATAGGCACAGATTCTTTTCAGCTAGAGTTCTATTGCATATGGCATAAATTACAAGGCTTAAGAGATGATGTTGCTTACTTGTAATATCAGCCTCAGCATTTGCAAGTGGAGGCAGGTTAGGTGAGGAAAAGGCATTGAAACTCTCAGCATCCACCTTAGTCACCCTATTTCCCCTGTACAGTTTATTATAAAAATACAGGCACACCTGCAAGACAAGTAAAGAAACAGGTCTATGAATAAGCCAGTAATTAAAAGATTCAGTAGATAAATACTGTAGTCTGTCCTTTATAAAGTGTTTTCTAAATCTTTAAAGCAACTCAGAGGCTAGTAGATGTTTACAACTCTTTCAAAAAGACTTGGCACATCTGTCACATATTGGTTTAAGAATTTAAGAACAAAACAAGTCAAGAGCTAACTAGTTTCGTAATCTTCTCATGAAGCATAGTCTAGGAGACAGCAAATTTGCCTCAGTCCACTTCAGAGATAGAGGAAAGAAACAGTGTGGACAAAAAGTAAGTTCATCAGTTATATCTAAATTCAGAGTCCAAAAGCTTAACAAAAAGCCTAGTGACAATGAGGATAACTTTCAAAAGAGTTACCACACATAAATTATTAGGATCCTTCTCAAGTCCCTTAAAGTTTGTCAGTTGGAATTTGAAGGAAAAGAGATACCTCAAAGTTGTTATTAGTTATGAAGATCTTGGCCAGTCAGCTATTGCTGTTGTTTCACAAAAACTGGTTTTGGGAGCATAGCAGAAGTGAAATGAGGTGTAACCTGACCGGTTTTCTGTCTGATTTTTGGGCTGCACAGCACCATCTTTGAAGGCAGAGTGCTGAGACCATGGAGGTACTTCCATGTCCATTAGGTATATCATCCTTGACACTTCAGTCTTGAGGAACTAGAGCTAGAAGACACTCCTACTACTTCTAAAGAAACTTTAGAACTTCCAAGTAAATTTCAGCTAAAAAACTGACCTACAAGTGTTTCAGATCCCACGTATTTGCAAAGGAACATCTGATTTCAAGTCTGCTGCAAGCTACATTTCAGACTTGATAGTCTTTATAGATTGCATATGGGCAAAATGGGATATGACTCCTGAGAAAATGGCACGTGCTTTGCCATGCAAGTGCCTGTTACCTCAGCGGAATCCATTTATCTTCCTGTTTAAGTGCGATACTTTACTGCCTACCGGATATTTTGAGTATGTAAGTATGTGTCCTGGCTAGAGGGAGAAAAGCAGCTTCTGAGAAAGTCTTCACAGGCAAACAGACCTCAGGAATCACGAACTGCCCAGCAAAGAGCAGTGCCCCCAGAAGGTTGGCTCGGCCGTCGTTCTGCAACTCGTATATAGGCACCTGAAGAGCAGAGATTGAAATTATACCCTGTCCCTTATGTAAAGCCTATAGAGCAGAAAAAAAGAGTCCAACTTATGCAATACAAATACATGAATAATTTATATAACAATGATTTATGACAAATAAAGTTTCCTTCTTCATCCAAACTATTTGAGACTGCAGCAGATGGCAGGGTTTCCCTCTGTGCTTAACAGACTTATAATTTAAGTGCTTAAAAGCTAATACGGAGATGATTCTAGTGTGATTAAGCAGATTAAAAGACTGATTCAGGAAAAATATAGAAAATAGAAAGCAGGCATAGTTAAAAGTGACTGAGCATGGGAGAAGTGATTGTGCAGATGAAAAGCAAAAGCCCCAGATCATACAGAACTGCCACTACGGGCTTCACAACAGCTCTCTTCACCATCTTTCCTCACAGTACAGAAAAACTGAGCAAGCAGGTTATTACCAACAGAAAAGGACAAGATTAAAAGCTGAGTGATGACTTCCATGCCTTTTCAGATTGCCTCTTTATTAACAGAGAGTCAGAGCTCTTTTCAGCAACGAAAAAAAAAAAAATCACATGCTCCATTGCTAGATCATCTGTCAGGCAGAACTCCAACCAATAAAGCCAAAAAGAAAGTAAAACCTTGACTATGATGTACCACAAATAGACTGCCCCATGTCAACAACAGTAAGTGGGAGCCTACTCCTTCCTTGACTTTTGCATTTTGACTTCAGATAGACCGCATGTTAAAGGGAAGTTATGAGATAGGGGAGGGGAATTTTACAGTGCGATGTTTTGTCTCTCTTTTGTGTATTTTATGCTCAAGCAAGCTATTCTAGTAAGACAACCCCTCCCCCTCAGACAATATGCAAAGGGCTGATCTCCAGCTAAGAGAATGAAAATTAATAAATGCAGTCTTTAGAGGAAAGGAAACAGACCATGTTAGAGGCTTTGTGGAACAGAAATGATCAAAAATGCATCTAATGCTTAGAGGTTATTTAAAAAATGATAAAGAATGCAACAATGGGTAACACAAGACGGGATAACAACTGATGAAGTAAAAAGTAATAAGCTCCAGGGCTTTAAAAGAAAAAAAGACAGCTAACAACCAGCAGCCACCTGAGGCTGGAAAGATGCTTCTCTTATAAACCGATTAATACACAATGGCCAATGACAGGCTCTTACATCTTTCTCTGAAGCATCTGGCCCCTGGCTATAATGAACTACTGGCCTGGTTTGGTACAGAGTTGTAAAGTCATTAATGATAAAATTTCGGGGCAGATCCTCAGCTGGTGAGCCCGTCAATTCTCACTAATTTCTATCAGCACTGTGACCGTTCACCCTGGCCAGAGGCCCGCCCTGCATTACTAAACTATATAGTGATGATCAGAATACTACCTAGGTTTGCAAATAAGAAGAAAAAACGAGGCTTCTGACTTCAACTTCAAATTAAGTCCATTACCTGAGATCCTGTCAGAACAACAGTTTTACCCAGGTTCTCACACATGAAGGATAAGGCTGAAGCTGTATAGGCCATGGTATCAGTGCCGTGAAGGATCACAAAACCATCATACTTTTCATAGTGCTCCTGGAGATGGAGAGACGGTTTTCACATTGTTAGAGCAATGCCCTGGCATCCGCACGTGAGGTACATATTGCCTTACTTTCACTGATGCAAGCATAACACTTCAATGGATACTCCATGCATAATTCCTCCTAAAGTTATCCTGGTTTCAGTTTAAATACAGTTAAGGGTTAATAGGACACCAAGCACTAAAGCCAGTAATTCTAATTACGGAACAGTCAAAGAGATTCTTCTACGTATACATATTAATGCAGCATTTTTAAACCACAAGACTGCTAATTAAGAAAAGCTTAGCAATGGCTTTAAACAGGAATGTTAACATATGCAAATTAGTCGTATAGTCTGATTTCTTGTTGCCGCTTTTACTTTAGGGATTACACCATTTACAGGAACAGATTAGGCAAACCAAGGCTATCATAACATATAGAAAAACCAGTCCATTTAATCCGGGTGGCAGACAGGCAAATTGCCAGTGTAAGAGTGCCCTCTTCTGTTGAAAAGTCATCTTTTCTGCAGCAGTACGGGACCTCTGCAGCAGAAAGAGGTGAAGAGGCTTCTTGTTCGTTAATGTACATACACTTGCCAGTTTTTGAGAAGTCCCTTTGACTACCAGGCATGTACGGATGCAAAAAGGAATTTTATACCTTTAATCTACGTACAATTCCATACAGAAGTTTTTTTCATGCAAAGCCATGAATTGCACAGCTCATCCTGTTGGAATAAAGTAATCTGCTGGCTTTTGGAGGAAAAAGGAGCTGGGTCCTCTATCGAGTGATGCACATAGTAGAAACACTGTAGTGAGAGACACTGATGTCTCTGATGTAATTTGGTAACATGGAAAGGATTACAGAGAAGTCCAAGCAAATATATGAAGTTTGCCATAGAATTAAATGATATTTCTTTTTAGTTACACTTCTTATGCTACAGTAGGCACACATGCTTGGCATCTTCTGATAGTAAGGTCACCTCCAAACTCACCTGCAGATTTCTACTTGTCCTTTTGCTATTTCTTCACTGATACTTGTGCCTACGTGTTGCTACCTACTGGAAGTTTCAGGGGATTTCTGCTTATTTCTAACAAGTTAGCCAGCTGAACAACAGCCAGTATCGCAAGATCTTTCTGTAAGCCAAACTATAGCCTGATGCAAAAAGCATGCTGTAGTTATTCACCAATGCTGTAACAAGATAATTAAGTTTCAAGAAGGGCTGAGATCACAGAAATAACCACTTGTCACCTCTAACTCAGTATGCTCACGAATATTTTCAGCCTTATGAACCTTATTAGATGCAAAAGAACATAGCTTGGTTTAAGGTTCATAACATAATAGATCAGATTGGCAATTAAGGAGATATCCCACAGAAACATCTTGGAATGCTTCAGTCTGGAAAGTCATCAGCACGTTACAGCTGTGCCAAGTACATGTCCAAGATGAACACAAAGTGGCAGTGTCTATACATAAGCTGGGCAGCTGAGGAAGTTTTTTTCTTCCCCTTCTCAGCACTTTTCACTTGGATTACATGCCCTGGATATTTGTATATACAGAGAAGCTGCATTCTGTGTATAAGAAAGAAACATTTTCTTCGTAATAAAACTAACATGCCATTAAGGAAGTAAGGTAAATTCTCTCCTGTTCAGCAGG